CCCCAGACCCAGGGCAAATATCCGTGAATTCTGAGTGGGTTGCAAGGCACCTAAACCATTCGAGTATACCGAAGATTCGCTTGAAATTTAGTGAAATTTATGTGGCATCATTTTACCATGTTTAAGAACGGGGAAAATAATATAAAATTGTGTCGGAAGAATAATATATTCGGATGGATCCGATGTTGGGGTTTTAAAAGGCAAACGACTTTAGTTCGCGCTTTTCTTCACAGTAGGAATTTTGCATCGGTAAATTCTAAATTTTGAAGGATTTGTAAGAAATGTTTGAGGAAACTGAGTTGGTGTTTCCTCAAACATTTCTTTCAAATCCTTCAAAACTTAGAATTTAGGGAACGTTCATTATTTATACCTGGGGTTGGTACCGAAGAGAAGCGAAAAACACTGTAAATTTTTTATTTACCCAACCTCAACATTGGTCAAAATAATGTTTACCCAACCCATGTGTTACTGTACTTCATAATAATTAAACACACAAGATCATGGTGACAGAAATCAAGTTGCCTAAATTCTAAAAGCTCACTCACACTCACTGAGTGTGCCAAAGCAATCACACGTTCCTGCTGATCAATGATAGAGTCCTTCCGCAATCACTGATGGTCTATTTTGGTACAGAATGTAGTGTACACATTATTCTTCATATTTTCCAATGCATGGTTTAGTTTTATTTTATAGCCGACAGACAGCCATAATTTTTTTACCCAACCCATGAGCTAGTCAAAAACTTGATTACCCAACCCATATCTCTTCGGTACAAACCCCGAGTATAATAATGAACGTCCCTTAGGCCTGTTTTATACGTCGAATCTCGGGCGCGTCGAATGCAATTCAAACAATAGATAATGAAGCTTAATGAGGTTTATCATCTCATTACCTATTGTCTTAATTGCATTCGACCCGACCAAAATTCGACGTATAAAACAGGCCTTACGTATGCAAAATTCCTACTGTGATCACAGAAACTTTGATAATGTATACCAGGCTTTACTTAATACAAACTGCAGTGCTTTCATATTCCATTCCAATCTTAACGTACTTCTCTAATTCAATCTCCGCCGTGTTGAACACGTCATCCGTGTAATGCACGATATCAATTGTCCCAGGTAAGTAGGAGGCGGTTACTGGAAACACATCTAGCACTTCAAACCCAGCTTTACACATGGCTGACATCGCGTAAGCATCAAACAACCTGATACGCTGCAAGAAGATAGAAATGTTTTTGATACGAAAAGTAAGCTAACTAGTAACGAGTGTTTATAAAATGTTTAGCTATTTTTGTTCTATTTTATGCCTGCAATGGTCTGCAATTTTGAGGAAACCTAGCATAGACGTATGGGAGGAAAAATTTAAAGGAGCGGCCAAAAAATTCCCCGACGTTAGCGGCTAAACTTCAGAGCTATTCGACGTCAATGGCCGCCACTTTGGCTTCACTTTTCTAATAGGCCGAATTTATATTTATTTTTTTATTTATATATATATATATATATATATATATATATATATATATATATATATATATATATATATATATATATATATATATATATATATATATATATATATATATATATATATATATAACTACAGACGGTACCGTTTCGGCCTTTTGGGCCTCATCAGTGTAGTGCTGATGAGCAGGATGAAAGTAACCACTATAGTTACCTTTGATGTCTCACGAATGTGGGACATCAAACCATTGTATATATATATATATATATGAACAATGTATATTATATATATATATATAATTTCGCTTACCTCAAAATTCCGCAACAGTCTGTTTCATCAGTAAAGAATCATCAGGCGGTATCCGCGTGATGATTCTTTACTGATGAAACAGACTGTTGCGGAATTTTGAGGTAAGCGAAATTCTACATTTGCTCTATCTTTATTATATATATATATATATATATATATATATATATATATATATATATATATATATATATATATATATATATATATATATATATATATATATATATATATATATATATATATATATATATATATATACATACATACATACATATATATATATATATATATGTATATATATATATCACTGGATTTGACATAATTATTTGACTTCCGCCATTAGGGGTGGAAAATGTTTATAACGGAATAAAAACATACACAACATCCATCAGCGTCAAAATTTCACAGGTTTGCTTTGGCAGAGCTCCAGCCGTTTATCACTTTTAAAACCCTTTTAAAACCCTTGCTTAATACGAATTCAGAAAAAGCATTTTTTTTTGCAAATTTAGCCAGTGCTGTCCTTTGCCACCCAAAATCGCGTGATTTCTTTAACGTGACGTAATATTCCCACGTGACTGCAAGAGCGGAATATATTATAAACTAGTGTAAAACATGGCAATTTCTTACCGGTTCAGTGAAAAATCTCCACACCGTGTCATTTCGCGGGGGTTCCTCATTTTCCTTGCGAATCGACGTAGTCGTCTTCCATACCACTCTCGCATTACTTCCCAGTCTCTTCTCGCGATCGCGTAACATGACTATGACGTCATCCATTAACTTTTGAAAAGTTGTAAAATTTAAAGTGGACGGGTAATGCAGTCCTAAGTTTAGGACCAATAAACTATGTGGACTTTTCATCAGAGCATAACGCAGGACATTTCTAATCGAGTCAATAATTATGTTGGGTCGAAAATCAAAGTCATCCGTTAACGATTTTCCAAGAACTTCATTTTCGAATGGGACTGGGTACACCCAATTGTAGCTGCGATGGCAAGACACCAATAGTTCCTTGCACAGCGGTTTCTGCAAAAGGGAATTATAAAAACGTATTCCTAAAGAGTCCCCAAAAATCCACAATGCTCCCTTGCGTGGCGTGGCTGTCCGTGGTCTGGAGATGTTTTTCCTTCGTTGAGGGTTTGCTGTAAATAATTAAACCAAAACAACTTTACTACATACTGGATAGTTCCATCAGTTCTAAAGGCCGATTTACACTGCACAACGTTTTCCTAAAACTGTCACATGCAACCTGCTTACAACTTGAGTTGTACTGTGTGAATCAAACATACAACTCACTTACGTTATCATAGGTGAGATGTATGCTTGATTTACACAGTACAACTCAAGTTGTAAGCAGGTTGCATGCGACAGTTTTAGGCAAAAGTTGTGTGTGTAAATCAGCCCCAAGGCAATCCTTTATTGCTGCCAGAGAAAGTGTTACTAGAGAGAAAGAAACGAGAGTACCTGGAGAAACCCTGTGGCATTTGAGAGAGTCTAACTGCGGGAAGCATTAATCCTTTCCCACATGCAGCTAAATATGAGGCGAAATTATAATCAGGCAACTGTTTATAGGCCCGTTTACACTTGAAATTTGTGCTGCGGTTTTCTTCTTCTGCCGGATGTGAACGAGTGGATGAGTTACGAATGTTTATGGTACTTATAGTCATAAAAAACAGTTTCATATTAAACTCAGAACATTCATAACTCGTCCACACTAGAAATTGTAGCAAAAATTGCAAGTGCAAAAGGGGTGTTATTGCAGGAATCAAACTTCCGATGCAGAGATGAAAGGCAGATTACACGGTTACATTGTACCAGCCGATATTAGTAAGTTGGGTTAGTGTGTTGATATTAAATAAAAACTTAGAATTAAAACCGCGAACCGATTGGGTCCCATTATGGGTAGCGAAGATTGCAATGATACAACCACCCGGAAAATAAGAAAATTAGGACTGGGTCTAGCCGCTTGTTTGGAGGGGCAAAAAATAAACAATATGCTGAATATGGCATCTACGAAGTTTTCCTGCATTCCTAAAGTTCTTTGTGCAGCCTGAAACGCAACAATTATAATAAGGCATCTTTTAGTATATATTTAGCTCGCTCACTATAATTTGTTGTCCCTCCAAACGTCCCTCCAAACATCAACGAGACCCAGTCCTCTGCTCGAATGCTCGATTGGGAAATGGCTAATTAAAACGTCGACGTATCGAGCGAAAACCCTTCGTCTGGAAATTTGTGACGAAGACAAACTAAGAGCATTCGTTCGAAATGTCGACGTTCTCAGGTAGTTGGCATCATACACACAAAAATAATTGATTTTACCAGACAGATATGGCAACCAAATATTGTTCCTCCATCGTCCATGGCCATCCCAAAGCGAACGGCACGAGTTTGTACATTTTATCGTGGATATATCTAAAGTTCAAAAAATAATATCAATGTAAAATTTCATTGAAATCTAGATCTTAACAAGACAGTTTCACTAGTAATTTAGGTTGAATGCACAAACTTCAACATACAATAAAACGAACACTAGATTCCCGGCCTTATTACGTTTTCGTAGCGCTTTGCATTGTGGTTAGGATGGTATCACTGATATTCAAGATGGCTTATTTTTTTGTCCTGACCCGTGCAAGAACTTTATAAAACGCTAGGGTTCACGAAAACATTCAATATTTTCATTCGAGTCCGCTATCTTTACAGTGATACCGGGGCATGAGAGTTGAGAAAACTCCCATACAAACACTCGCTTCTCAACTCTCATCAACTTTCATGCAACTCTTGTTCTCGTTTGACCGGGGCATGAGAGTTGAGACAATTCCCATGCAAACACTCGCTTCTCAACTCTCATTCTCGTTTTGATCATGACCAGGGCTTATTCTCCCAGGGCTTATTCTTCCAAGGTTTATTCTCCCAGGGCTTATTTCCCAGGGTTTTACTCTGTCAAGTGCCAGATGATCTGCTTCATGATAGTGCTTATAGTGAAACCTATCTATACACAGCTTACCATCAATCCCTGATCTAGATGTATTTGGCAAAACTTCAAATATTAGGTTTTGTGCTGCTCGCAAAGGCTCGTAAATATAATGATCCAGAAAACCAAGAGTTCCCTGTCGCTGGTATCTTCCTTGAGAATTTCCTGGAAAAAACACGAGAATACTTTATCACTGAACGAAATGTATTTTAAGTAAATGTATTTTATAAAGAATGATAATTTACAAATATTTTCTTGCATAGATTACCATCAGATCACCACCACACCATACCATGCTATACCATGTCACATTACACCATGCCATACTACACTATAGCATACCATACCTCGACAGAACACACCGTACCATACCATACCATTCATACTACACCATACCCCAACACAACATACCATAATGCATACCTCACCACACCATAAAGTATACCACACCTCATTACATCATACCACACCTCATTCACCAGATACTCTTATGCACATGACACATTATACAGACAACACCATATATGATACCATATACAACGCAACAATAACACTCACCAACTCGGAACCAGTCCTCTGGAGGATTTCTCAGTCCATCGCACAAACTATAATCAAGATAAGCTTGTACAGCATAATTCCCAGTCTCCACCAGCAGCGCGATCGCCTCGTACGTACCATTCTGATGGTCAAATACAGTAGCTGAAACATTCGCCGGTCCTGTGAAGAACACTCGCCAAAAATCACCACCGACAGTCTTCATCCGTCCACTGGCAGTTTGAGTTTGAATAAAAATCCTCGAAAAATGTCCAGATGGTTGAATATCCATGTAACTTATATAACTAGTCTTCGCTGAACTCCTATTAACTTTGCCCCAGCCTGATTTTAAGGTTCCCCAAGCCATTTGGTCTGAGCATGGTCTTAAAATTGCCCGCCAATCTGTCCTTGCCCGATGCATTCTTAACCAGTCGTAACGAAAATCATTTTTGTGACTGGTTGTATTTCTTGCGCCATATTCAGTCCATGAAACCTCAGGTGGAAAGATAACATTGGCAAAATGTAACCGGAAGAGCTGGCCATCCCAGCAACAATAGTAATACAGAAGAAACGCGGTTATGACAATAATATATAAAATAAAATATCGCGTGCGTATTTGCTGACCAGTTATCATTGATAGATAGAACTCTCTGCTCTTACAAGCCAAACAAAAAAACGTTCGAGCAATTTAAGTTCTGTGACAGGATGGCCTAAAATATAAAAATGACTATTAAATAGGGGCAGACAATATAGACCTTTCTCAAATGACGTCAATCACGGAAAAAACTTAAAGCGATGCCCCAAGAGACAATTGAACATTAGGAAATGGTTATTTTTCCGGTCGAAAAGCAACGAGCTTTGGCTATTTGTCCGTAAATTAATTTGATTGGTTCATTTCTTCGTTCTGTCAGCTGGCTAGAATGACATTAAGTAAATTTCATTCATTTCCAAACAAGTTCTTGGACTCTTGGTAGCCGAGTGGTTAAGGCACACGTCTTGATCCATGCATCGACCAGCGAGCAGGTGGCCTGATGAGTTAGGCCTAGAGATTGCGGAAGGTCGGTTAGGTGCTGTTAAGGTTCCGGTTTCACCGTGTGAAACAACCGCTGCCCATTTAAAAGAACCAATCACATTAATTCACGGACAAATAGTTTGTTTGTTTCCGCGACCGCACAAATGACAGCTTTCCAAACATTATTCTATCATTTCGGGTTAATTAACATGTTTCCATGTTTGCCAATTTGAGGCTTAAAGCATTTGATTTCAAAATCAGCGACAAGCGTAGCCAATGTGGACGTGCTGATGACGACATGTTAACATTCTGGCTAATATACATGTAAAGCTCAACTATAGATAGATAGATAGATAGATAGATAGTTTAGTATAATTTTACATCGCAGCAAATTTACAAATGATATGTCACAGATACATACATACATATACACATATATATAAAACGTTAAATTAAAAGGAAAAGTATAACAGAAACAGTGGATCTTTCGTAACTAAAAATTATGGTCATAACTTAGCCTTGGCTTAGGGGCTGTTAAAGTCTCGGTCAAACGAGGATGTGAGTTGGCAGTCACTGACCCACGAACAGACCTTTCCCCTTTTCAGTGAAATTTTGATCTAGACAAGTCTAGAAAGATATCATCACAGCTTGAAAGAGCATCACAAAATTAGTAATATTCCGAAGTTTCGTTGCAAAATGTTGTAAAATGAGGATATTATAGCCTTGCGATGTTTGCCGTTTTTCAGTCATTCTGCATTACAAATCGAAAATTGATAATCCGATGATCAAACTGATTATCAATTTCCCATTTTAATACAAAATGACTGAAAAACGGGAAACTTCGCAGGGCTATATTATCCTCATTTTACAGCATTTTGCAACGAAACTTCGGAATATTACTAATTTTGTGATGCTCTTTCAAGCTGTGATTAAATTTTTGTCTAGACTTGTCTAGATCAAAATTTCACTCATAAGGGGAAAGGTCTATTGAGTATTGTTGCAGGGGACATTTAAAGTTCGAGATTAACAAAATAGAGGTTTGATGAGAGTTCCAACTATGTTTTAACTTAAATGGAATACATGACAGTGTTGACCGAACAGCTAACCAAGGTCGAGTGTGACAAGATTTTGCCTATACGGTAATATAGCGCCTTTCTTGTTATAGTTCGCCGACTGTACAGTCTGTACTACGCTGGATATACACTCATGTAGATTTCATGATGATTATTGATTGTAATTCGCCTCTGCAGGTGTGGAAATCTTCAGTGATACAGAAGTATAGTTATAGCTTCAAACGAAAGTCAAAATTAAATTTAAAAAATGAATTGACGTTATTATTATTAATTAACAAGCTGTTATACCTTTATCGTCTTTGTACTTGAACTTCTAGCTTTCATATCATTGTTCTTGTCAAACAATTACATATCTTTGAGCTTCCAAGGAAGAAAATTTACATTTTGTAATCCTACATATCGCCTTCCAGCTTAAAATAACTTTCCCGTTTAATGTGTTGTTAAAAAATGTTAGTTTTGTTACAACTAGACGACAACCAGATTTCTGCAGGTCAAACAATAACAATAGTAGATTGTTGTCATCTTGACACGTGAAAAGTGTTCTTCTTTAAAGCACCAGTAAAATCCGTCCGACAAAGTCAAAGGAAAAACTGGTACTCAACTCCACACGACAATATTTGAGATTTCCCTCGTGAAATCTCAATTCTTCATTGGTCGATTAAAGCAATGAAATTATCTGTGATTGGTTGACAGGGGTTAAGTGACCGCGGACGCCAAATAGACTTTATGCGTAATGACGTCAGAAGGCTTGATGCCCGCGAGGAATGCTGGTCTTAGTAGTCATCGCCCGGGAAAATTAAACGATTCAAAATGGCCACTATCAAATATTTCATCTGGCGACCAGATATTTGCCGAAGGTAGCCCTCGCGTGGGGACTGAGAAAAAACTTAAAATAATAGAGTAATTCACTAATTCTAATTAAAGTCCTACAATATGTCAGTGATCAAGCATTTCATTCTAGTTTTGCATATAATTTTCCAACATATTAAACAACTGTTTTTTACCCCTGTTGGTCTCCAAAGGATAGAAATTAAGTCTGTTGATATAATTACCAGTTCATAGCAGAACAGTAGAAAACATTTTCTTTCTATTGCGTATTATATCACACAGCATATATACGTCATTGTAAAAACAACTTGGTCAAAACAACCAAGAAACTGGTTATTTCATATATTAATTTTGAATCCGAGGTAACAATTTAATGGTTGGTTTTATAACTAATATGTTTTACAGTGTTCTGGTTATAACTTATACAAACGGTGACAAAAAGTATTTTGTGTAGCCAAATTTTACGTAAAGTTGGTAAATATGTAAGCAAACGCTTAAAGTGCCTATGACACGAAATTTCACCCCAAATGTTTATTATTGCATTGTAAAGATCACTTAAAATGACTTAAAAATTTCTTTTATAGAATTTTGGTAACTTGCTTCCTTTTCAAGATATTCAACTTTGTTTCATATGCAAATATCACCGGTGTGACATCAAATCACGTAATGACATTCTGAAAACGCAATATTTTACCTTGATAAAATATTTTTACAAACAAATACAGAGGGTTAATAATTACTGGGTTGGTTGAAATTAATACATACAGCTATTTCAATTAAGGTTGTCCCCCGAGCAAAGCGGAAAAGTCGAATACGAGCGCGAAAGGCTGCTGGGAATCGCTAAAAAATTCATTCATTTATTAGCGATTCCCAGCAGCCTTTCGCGCTCGTATTCGACTTTTCCGCTTTGCTCAGGGGACAACCTTAATCATAAAAGCTGCAACAAATCCAAATTCGTTTTGATTTCTCGAGAGAATTACACTGTGAATGAGCAGTTCACTGTCTATTTGGGAGGCACGGTGTACCATTTTAACCCTACAAAAGGTTATATATATATATATATTTGCATATGAAACAAAGTTGAATATCTTGAAAAGGGAGCAAGTTACCAAAATTCTATAAAAAAAATTATTAAGTCATTTTAAGTGATCTTTACAATGCAACCATAAACATTCGGGGTGAAATTTCGTGTCATAGGCACTTTAACAATTTATTAACAAATGCGAAGCCTTACAAATAGATATCTAGCTTTAATCTGACAACTTGTCCTGGGAGATTTTATGCAATACGATAGTGACCTTGCCTTGTTTCATAGATATCTCCATTATTCATGAGATGTTCCAACCCTACCTTTACTCTGTCTCTGGGAACGTTTTTGTATTTCTCCAACGATTTTAAGTTTGACACAATCTTGTTCAGCGCAATGCCACAGGATGACTCTCCTAATTAAACAGAGAACTTCGATATGAAGTGGATTATGTACAAATATTACGATAACTTTATTTCTACAGAATAGCTGCAACAGGACTAAACTCTTCTTCAGGGCTACACATAGACGCGATAATTGGGGGGGGGGGGGGGTGAATATTCATATACTCGTGCTCTGCTCGACGGATTTCTTTTGAAAGCGATTGTTTTTCCGGTATGTGATGATGATCATATGAATATTCAACCCTCCCTCCCAATTATCGCGTCTAGTTACGGCCCTGCTCTTCTTCCTAGAGATCCAGCAATGGACAGCAATGGCGTAGACCTTTAAATATTCTCCAAACTGTTCTGGTTGAAATCCGGACAAAAAAGTGGGAGGGAGAGGGGGAGGCGGCAGGGGTGAGAAAAATAGGCGAGCACGCGAGCACTGCTCGCAGGAAATGTTAAACAGCTGCAGGAAATTCGTTTGAATGGAGATTTGCTATTGAAAATTTGAAGGAAACCTTAACAGCCATGTTCCACTATGGGTGCAACAACATATGGTTGACAGACATTATTCCTTGAATTTAAAACCATGGTCAGCTAGAACACTATATGTTTATATACATGCAGATTTAGCACAAAAATACTCCGTTGGTCTCAGGAAATTTTTGTCTCCAGGTTGTGATCCCAGGAAGAAAATTCATTTTTCTTACCCTGGAGGGGGGTGAGTTACAATGTCTGAAATAACGATAAAATACGGGGTTTTTCGGGTTTCAAAACTTATCTCAGAATGCTGTTCAAGAGAGCCTCAACATACATGTAGC